GTGTCCGCTAGACACTGCAACATTATTCTTTGGATAAAGAACAACTTAAACAACTTCCTTGCTCAATGAGCTCTGTGTCAATGACACAAAAATCTCCAAGACTCGCCGGTTCTAACGGCGAACATGGGCAGAGCCCAACTTAGTCTCTCGCACTCGGTGCAACGTCGGACAGTGAATCCGCAGCACCGAGAGCTGTATATCCTAGGCTCGATGAGCACAAACGTCGCACTCCGCGCACGCTTTTAGTGTTGAGTGGCCTCGTTGAGGATGTGGTCGACTATGAGTCTTTCACTCCTTTTTCCGCATGGGATGACGAGGAAGACGAGCTGCGCCAACGGCGCGATACGATCCCTGCTCGTGTCTAGCGAACGCCATGTCCGCTCCGTAACTTCTCGTCAACTGAGACACGAGGTGTGATCACCAATGACATCGACGGGAAACAGAGGCGCCAGCTTGAAGCTGCCCGTACAGCGGCTCTTAAGCGCGCCCATCCACGGACAGTCATTTTCCTTCGTGTGGAATATGGCTTCCGCCCAGCGGATCCCGCTTTGGAAGCGAAGGACGCGGTAACTCGATCGTTACGCGTCCGCATCATCGGGCCCCCGGCCAGAACGGATGATGAACTTTCCACACGGAAAGCTCTTCGAGCTCGTTCTTGGTCCCACAAAAAATTCTGTTGGAAACTTATCGCACTCGTCTGAGTGCACAACGAGGTATGTCTCGTGTACCCACAATGCGGACAATAACTGTAGTGCTCACCCTTGGCGAAAGCACTACAGATGACGAAGCAATCTTTGAGCGATGGGTGCAATAGCACCAAAAACTTTCCTCACAGCATAAATTGCAGTTGAGCCACAAGGAAGCGGACGTGCGTGTGAAGCGACACCTCCAATTTGAGTTTGTCAAGTTTAAGGCACACAGTCGATTTCTTTCATATTGTCGCCCTGCGACATATGGGTTAACAATACCTAATGCTCCCACGAGCTCTTTGACTCCGACCGCAAGAGCTTAGGGCCACTGCTTGAGCTCAGCTCATGGCCCTACTACATCCCTGGCTATTGCCGGGAAGCGCGGGGGGTCTGATGACGAGGGACGTCCTGATCTATCCGATCTTTCCGATCAAAAGCGTCCACGGCGACTAGGCAATCTTGCCGAAGTGGCGCCTCAGACTCTCACAAGATTTGGAGTCGAGATCTCCTCGCCACTTCACTAGATGTTGGGTTTGACCCTGGTGATGACGTCGTCTCACAAGACTTTCCACGTGATAGTGGACGTCACCGTTCTCATCAAGTAGAGTCGGTGGGGAGCGGTGACGACCGGGTCGACCGCCGTCCGGTGACTCGTGATGCTCATCGAGCCCTTGCGGACAAGGTCCTTCGTGATCGGAGCTCCGCGGAGCGTCATGTTGAAGTAGCATATTGCTGTGCGGACGCTCTTGACGATTTAAAGCAGGTCGTGTGCCGGCTGCCTCGCGTTGAGGACTACCGCGCTCAGTCGAAGCGACTCCTAGCCGTGGAGCAGGCGAATGCGTCGCTGCAAACGACGGTGGAGCGCTTGGTGCCATTAGAAATGGAGGTTATTGCACTCCGTGCTCAGAACCAGCTGCTCGTTCAACTTCTGGGTGGCCGAGTGTCCATGGGATCCGCTCGGGCGCCAACAATTCCGCGTTCTCTTGCGCCGGATCTCGGTACCGCTTGAGCAATCCCACGTAAACACCGGGTGCGTGCGCATCCGTTTGGGAAGGTTTAGCGTATATGCTAAGCCCCGCTTAGCCACAACCTTAAATGGTCCAATAAATCGTGGTCGAAGCTTCGTCCGGAAGATAGCAGAGGCTGCATGTGTAGGCAGGTTGTTAGAGTTTACTAAAACCAGGTCTCCGACCTAAAAGATTTCCACTTTATCCTCTTCCTTTTTTGTCTGCATATTCTTTTTGCAGGTCTTGGCTTTCAGCCATCGCATCGCGAACGTGTCGTA